ATTGGGTGTGTCAAATACAACAAGTGAAAACATTTTTTAAATGTTTGGGACATTAGTCCTATTTTACTCTGAATATAAACCAAGTCATGTGAATTATTAGCATCCAAACTTATTTGGATAAGATAATCTTTAACGGGAAGCACGAGTGGCRTGGCRGTGTGAGCACTCGCYTCTCATCAATGYGACCCGAGCTCGAGTCYYGCCRGGYTCGGTGTTGTATATGAGTAGAGTTGTTTGTTGGTTCTCTCYTGTGCTTCGAGGRTTTTCYRGGTTCTCYGGYTTTCCTCCCTCTGYAAAAATCAACTCCTAAATTCCAATTCAATCACGGAATGAGGGCCACAGGTTTGTTGGCTATTAAGTGCTACYCTCATGAAAAAAGGAYGTTTTTTTATGTKACATATGRTTGATGGTTACAATTGTTGAAGAAGTTCAAAGAATGCATTTGTTATTGTGCTTGCTTTTATYSYTTACTAGAGTGGAACAAGTAATGAAATGCCTAGCTCAGCAGGCATCAGAAAAAATTGACAGAACACGTGGTCATGCTGGAGRCATATTCCTAAAAATGATTCACAATGAAAAGTAAGTAGCATTTTGATGATATTACCAAGCAACGCTACCTTTGAATAATGGTTGGGATAATATTAACAATAAGTGGGACAAGAGAACTTGTACCTGTACTAAGATGAACTTCATGTCAGTCAAACACAGGATAAATATAGTGAAGAATCATACAAGTAGGGTTTGCAGAGAATCCTTATCAAGACTTATGTTTTGCCTATTTTGTAACTAACTTTAATAAATAAATAGTAACCCATTAAAGAGTGCTACCTACTTACTACTTTATTTGTCATTCAGTAATATTGAACATGTTTGATATCAAATGAAAGCTACAGTGACTTCAACGTTACTTTTGTTAACCCTACCATTCTTAAGGCTGCTCAGTGGTAACTCCTTGGAAAGTGCTTTTTTTTTGATCAGTGACGCTCGCAGTAGCTGGACCTCTGATACCAACATCATTCTGTTCAGTCAGTGTTTACCTTCAATGAACTAAATACTTTTCTTGGTTGTATTTGTAGTCCTGTAATACCACATATTCCACACCACAATGATCTACTTAGATTATTCAATAGGTGAGTACTGAAAACAATAGTCCATTCAAGATGTCCACTGCATCGTCAAATAATTCCTATCAATATGGTTTGCCTGGGTGCAAATGCTCTCACTGCTATGCACCCTTGCTTCCCACATGATGTAAACAAGATGAACCCTTTCAAAAAAGGTCTATGTCGTGAGTGGGTATGTAAGCAATCTATCTCACTTCATTGCTGTTATATTTCCAGGAATGAATGTTCAGATCTGAACTGGAGTTCACCTGCTGACTGCTTCCCTCATGTTACCCAGCTGCTCAGTCTTGATACGTACCGTTACCCAGTCCTGTTAGGACTGACAGTCAGTGTGGGTGGCCTGACAGAATCACTGGTATGTCTCATCACTCTTGCTGCTATCGCTGAAGTGTAGTCTCCAAGGGTGGATCTAGCCAAAATTTTATGGGGGGGCTAATTGAGTTTCTTCCGTCAACACAACGGAAAACAATAAAAAAAAGCATATAATCCTTCAGTTTCGTTTTGTTTTTTTTTCTGCTGAAGGGCAGGCTTCAGCCCCCATTTGCTCCTCCTGGATCCACCCTTGGTCTCTTATAAGAAGGTAGTTTGTGTTGGTAGAAGCGCACCCCATGACAAAAAGATTTAATTATTCATTAGTGATATAATCAGCAATTATTTCAGCATGCACATTGATGCATTTAAAAATACCCTGGGCAAGGATAAAGTTAGGGGGCTAAGGGGCTAAGTGGGTGGGTACTACACCCCCCTCCCCCCCAAGGGAAGGAATGCCACCCATATTCACTTCCTGGGTTAATAGTGGTATGTTGGTAAAGTTGCACGCTTGTTGGTCCTTTCGGGGGTTTTTCAATGGTTTTTCTACAGATTCTCCAGTTTTCCTTCCTCTATAAAGAGCAACTAAATTCCAATTTAATCAATTGTGAGTGAGAGACTACGGTACACTCCCTAAGCCTTGAGCTAGAAAAATAAAATAAACGTTATCAGTGATTTTCATCCCCAGGTGAGGCATTCTGCAGCATCACTTCTGAGTTACTTAAAACAAATAACATTGAGGTGAGCAAGAGTTTTTCTAGACTTGGTATAAATATTTCAAAATTACCATCAGTAGTCATAGTGATTATATATTTTTTCGTTTATAGCGAGAAGGAGCTGAATATATTTGCTGACACAATACTTGACATATACAAAGAACACAAAAAGAATGACAGGTACATACTCTAAGAATAWACCATATTACTTTTATTGTCTGTTTGTTTGATTGCTTTTAGTGATCTCATATTAATTGATTCTTTGATTGTCTTTAGAGTAATAATCCCTTTATTCAAGATGCTGGACCTCTTGTTATCTAATAACTGTTTTGAGATGTTCATAGGACAGGA